CATGCATGCTTTGTCCATGGTTGTACGCGAAGCTTTGACACGCAGTGCTTCGGGGCTTGGGGTTGTCAGGCTTAGGTTTCGGGCTCAGGGTCTAACGAGCCTGCAGAAGAGTTGCGTTAATCGTTCGAGCTGATTATAACAGAAACTACATTTTTCGTATTTGCGCAGACCTCTATTCTATTCTCGATTTTAACTTACCCGCCAAGACGCTTTTCAATCAGCGTGAAGCACTGCCATAGGGTTCAGGGACCTGGAATATCTCTGAGCCTGGCACCTCAAAGCAACGCAAATCCCATCAACCTACCAGGTTGGAGATACACATTAGCTCCCCAATTGATCGATCACGGTGCAAGTAAACGGTTCTGTAAGCAGTCCCGACTTAGCTGCTCAGGTTTTCTGCTGTTTCATTGCTGGGTCTCCTCATTCTAAGTCTCACGACCGAAACCCTACACCCAATCGGAAGCCCCACATGGCATGGTTCTTTTCGATAGAGCGTCTTGTCACACGTCCTTTGCTTTCAGTAGCCATGCTGGGTGCCGTGAGCTCTGTCATCAGGCTTCCAAGCTAAACTCCTAGCCTCGACCCCGTACCTTCACCTAGCGCAATCTACTTAGGGGAACCTTAGAAGATTTGTTTTAATCTTCGGTTATTATAACCACTAAGAAACAGCTAATATTTTTAATCTTTGCTAGGGGTCCAAGTTCAACATAGGCTACTTTGTGTCTGAGTATACACACAAATACAAAACCTATACGGCCAAACAGATGAAGTACTGTAGGGACCTAACTAATTATCAATATTATTTTTTTTTGGGGGGGGGTTCCTTATTACAATTCTGGCATAATATACCCCAACACCCTATTCTAAGTATTAAGACCCCTATGTTACCAGGTTGCTAGTGTAACGAAGACGGTAGTCGTAAGGCCTGTAAGAGAATTCTTTGGTACAGCTTGAGTCCGAATGAATCGGCTGAAGGCCTGGGAAGCAAACAGCGAGCGATGGCAGGTCGGCACAGGGTCTTGATGATGCAGGGCTAGGCGATTACTAGTACATAGTACATGCTAACTAGCTATGATGCAAGGTTTGGCGTTTGCTAGTACATAGTACATAACTACTAGTTACCAGTACCTTTCATGTTCTGGCAGGGCCGGCAGGGCTTGGATGGTTTTCTGTCCGTCAGCACAGCTGATTTCTATCTGTATCACTGTTGCATCCGTGTTTGTGACATGAATGTGTAGGAGTGATCACTGTGATCTACACCACCATGAATTTTGTCGTCGTCATGCGTCGTCATGATGACGTTGTTTTTAACTGGCAGATACATACACTTAGATGGGTAGTTGTCAAAATCCAGGTCCCCTTTTTGGGTACCCTCAATACTAGGTGCCGTATTATAATGGGGATCCAAGAAGAGACCACAATTTTGACAACCACCCACATGGCTGAACCCTTGTACGGTTTCGCGAAAGAGGCTTTGCCATGGCAGGTCGGCTTTTGAGCCGGGAGTCTTGGGGGGCGTCAGGAGTGAGCCCAGAAAGTTGGAGCAAAGATTTAGGATGATTCAATATATACTTTAGCTTTAAGGGGATTGTAATCCGTTTAACCCTAAAACCTAATCCCTAAACTTCCACAAGTCCCTAAACCATAAACTTCCTGGCTTCTGCTGTAGGAGTGGAGGCTTTGGGATGTGTTTTTTGCCGTTACGAGCTCTTTCTGTTGGCCGGTTTGTGGACCTTGCCGTCCTCAAAAACTCGCTCTGGTTGTAGTGGTAGCGTGGGTAACCTTTGACGTTTCTCGGGTAGTTCGAATCCCCAGTACAATCTCAACATACTCCCAAACTCTGTAGTGTTGCAGCACTATGCCATATCCCTCGACTCAGAATGACACCCTTCGTTGCCTTTCAGCATGGTGAAACACGGTTCCGGGTTTGGAGCTTGTGCCCAGACCCCCCAACCACCTTCTAAGACTCTAATATACCCCAAATACACACTATGCAGGACCATAAGGGATCTATTAAAGGGCCCTTGGGGTCAGGGCTTTAGATTTGGCTTTAGGTTTTCGGGTTCAGGTACACTGGTGCTGAGTCAGGTTCCTTGTACTGCTGTTACTAAGGCGTACGGCGAAAAGAAGACTCGCTAAGCCTATCCAGGTCAATCACGAAGCCCTACTAAACCACACAGCGGAGACATCAGTTAGATCGGGGTTATAACATAGTTACGGGCTAACTCGGTTTAACTATGGTGTAACTTTTTTAGGGCTGTTTAAGCAAAAAGGATGGTGCAGCTTGAATTGGCTTGATTTAGTGACTTACGTAAAGTGGGTGAAGGTGAGCAAAACAACTGAATTATAGCGACATTTAAGATAATCGAAGCAAAACCCTCCCAAATTCCTGAAGATGAAGCCTGAAACCCTAAACCCTAAAAACTCTGCGGGCATCTTTTTTGCAGTCTCAGTGCAGAAGGGTCACGAACTCACCTTCGGCGAGACTCCAACAAGGCCGAGAAACGTTGCAAACGTCACTGAGGTAGGCCAGCACAGGGGCCGAGGCATTGAACCTCCACTTGCTGTAGGTGCAATCCAGCGGAGCGACGGCCGCATCCGTTCTGGACAAGGTTCTAGCCAGAGCCAGAAAGTCGCTTTGGCCTCGCTGGACAAAAGCATCCACGTGCAGAGCCAACTCGGCCGTCAAGACGTAGAAGCCCTCGGTGAGCTCTCCTCCTTTGACGAGCACTGCAGAGCTGCAGCGCAGGTCTGAGCAGTCGAGGTGCTGCTGCAGCAGTGGATCTGCCCGGATCGGTGGAGCGAGCCTTGGCGAGAGGCCATACCCGACGGAAGCTTGGGTATCCACCTTGAGGAGGCGCAACAGCACCGAGCTTTCGAAGGTCGTGCCTTCGAAGTTGCTGTGGTTGCGAGCTTGCTCTTTGAAGGTTTTGTTTTTCCTTTCACAAACAAAACAGTCCAGCATCCTTCGCATTGCTTTAGTTTGTTCGCCCAAGTGAAGGCTGTAGTGGTGCTTGGGCCGGACCTGGTCTTGCCCGTAGTACTTTTTGAAGCCCTGCAGGTGCTGCTGCTGCAGCTCCAGAAGTTTGGAGCAAAGCTCGGGCCGAGCCTCCAATTTGCAAAGCTTCACGAGATTGCAAATCAGGCATAGCCGGGTAAGGCTTTCCACTGCCGCAACAGGCACTCCCTTTTCCAGCAAAACCATCCTGGCGAAATACGTCAGGAGGGGCAGCAGCGACATGGTCTGGCTCGAATCCCCTCTGTAGTCTGAGTCGAAGGTCAACAGCTTGGCATCGAGAAGGGGCCCTGCCTTGGAGCGGCCGCCAACACCTGGTTTCCAAGGCAGATCTCCCAAAGCAGCAACCTGATGCTGCTTTAAGCCGATGCTGTCTTTCGCAGCACGGAGGAAGAGGCTGACCTCTTGTCCTACGATGCCATTGCACCAGAGGCAGTGCATCGCATCGAAAAGACAGCCTTCCACCGTCAGCAGACAGGAGTCTCGGCAAACGATGCTGTCGGGGTTATATATCCAACCCAAAAGTTTTTGGGACTCCTCAAGCTTGGATTTCACCCTGATGCCGGAGAGGAGCCGCATGTAGTCGCTAACCTGCTGCTTCGTTTGTGGCAGAAAGGCATTGAAGTCGTGACATGATATATCCACGAAGTCTGCTCTTTCGCCATGCTTGATAGCGATAGCATTGCGGCACCTTAAACACGGCCTCATACCGGCATGCGATTTCGCACTCACAGCGGATGTGAGTGCCGGCTCGTCAGCCAGCAGCGAGACCCGTGTCGTTCGCAGCAGCACCGGGCCTAAAGACCCCTCCACAGCGAAACCCTCGAACACACTGCTTTGCAGCATGTCCAGGATCGCAGCTATGACCGCCGGCAGGCCTCCCTGAACCTGGTTGAGGAGACTCTGCCGGATGCAGGCGACCGTGCACCAGGCGAACTCGGACGTGCAAGCTCGCTGCAGGTCCATCCAAGTCACGTAGACTAAGTAGGACCGCCGCAGGTTGTCCGGTCTGAGGACGTTCCCCGGCACTGCTTCGTCCACGTAGAGAACCGCATTCATGCCCGCAGTTCCCGCCTGCAGCACGGCCTCACTCAGGAGGTCTCCAAAAGAAGGACAAGCTCGGCACTTCTCCTGCACCAGCCGGTCAAGCTGGACAACAGGGAGCTGCACGGACCTTTTCTCGCCTGCAAGTGGAAGGGGAAGCAAGGACAACAGCTGCCGCTCGGCCTTCAGAAGCACGGCTTGCTTTCTGCTCCCCTCCGAACCCGTCAGTCGGGCGAGCACCTGCTGCAGCAGCCTTGGCGTAAGGCTTGGCAAGTCTTTGAGCTGCTCTCGTGCCGTGGGCAGGTCAAGGACTCCTGCTTTTCTTTTCGTGGGACCCGACATGGCCAGGAGGCCTAAGAAGCTGCTACAACTGTTTCACTACGAGGTCTGTGTCTGCCTGTTTAGGAGTTGCCAGGTTTAGGGTGCTGCACGGCAGGACTGTGAGTCTGGTTTCCTTCGTGGATGGTCTGTGGCTTTTCTTTTAGGACTTGCAAGGTTTAGGGTGCTGCACGGCAGGACTGTGAGGCTGGCTGGCCTGTGGTTTTTCTTTAGGACTTGCAAGGTTTAGGGTGCTGCAGGGCAGGACTATGAGGCTTGACTCCTTCGTGGATGGCCTGTGGTTTTTCTGTTTAGGACTTGTAAGGTTTAGGGTGTTGCACGGCAGGACTGTGAGGCCGGACTCCGTCGTGCACAGCCTATTGCTCTGAGCCTCGCGGCAAATGTCCACGTGCGGAACGAGAAAGGCGGCTTCGGCACAGAAGTCCTTGCATGTACATGGAAACATGCTGGAGCTCTTTGTTTTCCATACCGGCATACTCACAGCGGATGTGAGAGCTCCTCAGCGAGACCCGCGTCTTTCGCAGCAGCAGCACCGGGCCCTATAAAGACCCCTGCAAAACTCACGACACATTTCAGAGATCTGCATGTATAAAACATGCACCTACTCTTTGTCGGGGCTCAGAGTCCTTCTTTTCTTCTCCTGCTTCGGCAGAGGCGTCGGAGGCAGGGTCTGCGGCGAGGCAAAAAGATCCGCCGAAAGAAGACGACTGGGCGGACTGGTCGCCGGCCAGGGGCTGCCTATCAGGCTCTGCGGCGTCCGTTGTGTGGCCTCGGCCGTCTGATGCTTGTCCTGCAGCCGAGCCATCAAGTCGGTCGCGGCAGTGTGCAATCGCAAGATTTCCGGCCAATCCTGCTTCTCCTTGCCGTCGACGAGCTCCGCCGACATGATTGCACTCGCGGCAGCGAGCAGCTCCTCGGCTTCCTGCCGATCCGCTGCCGAAAAGGACCCGGCTCCGACCAGGGTTCGGAGAGTCTCGGTGCACGGCGCCAGGAAGTCAAGAGCGGTGTCCGTGTGCGGCCGCTTGCGGTTTGCAGAGGGTGTCCGAGCCGGGGCCTCTTCCGTGGCTTCTGCAAGAGTAGGCCGGTCTTCTGCCAGCACCTGTTCAACCGCAGGAGCGTCTGCAGTTAAGCTGCTGCTGCTCCCCGCCCCTGCTTCTGCGGCCGCCTCAGCAGGCAGCGGCTTCCCGGCATGGAAGGCGCTGCGCAGGTCTCGGAAGCTTTCCACCTGCTGTCCGGGACCTTTGAAGACGTGGACTCCCCGCTCGTCCAAGCGAGTGACCGCCTCCGGCTCCTTCTTCCGTCGCTTTGGCATGCTGTCCCCCCACTACAGGCGGAGGAGAGCACGGCTTGAGCAAAACAGCAACAACATGCCGTGGTTGAGGATTTTGCGAAAGCTTCCAGGGCGGGCAAGGCAGCACTGCGACTAGCAACGTGGATTTTTTTCTAAACGCAGGAGTGGCGGAGCGATCGAGTGTCAGCAACACCGAATTATATTGTATGGCCCTCCCGAAGGAGAACGAGCATGCAGCTGTGCGGTTTACCGGCGACACCTGCAGTGACTGTCTGCAAGCAACACTCTCAAGAACCCTTCTCTGCTGCATGCATGATTACGTATCTACATACACACACCTGCATGGTCGCCGGTGCAAAAAACTACTCTAAAAAACTACAGACTCAAAAGCTCTCGCTGTTGTTGTTCATTCTTATAAATATTATATCCGGATGCAGAAGCAGCCGGGCAGCTCAAGGCTGCAGATACATGCACATAATTAATACTGTACGGCTTCTGGCTCGCTCACGCACCCCTCTTCGCGGCCGTGCGGGGGCGCTTTGCCTTGGGCTCGCCTGCCGGCGCCGCGGCCTGCTTGGCCTTCTCAGCAGCCTTGCTCTCCCGCTTCAGCTTGGCGGCCGCGGCCCTGCAAAGCTTCACGTCCTTCAGCTGCTCCGCTGCAGCCTTGCAGGTGGGCTTCACCTCGTCCTTGCGGAAGGGCAGCACCGGCAGGTCCTGCAAGTTCTCTTTGTTCGCCAGGGTGTGCTCACAGGCGTTCTTCCACTCCCCGAGCTTCCGCAGCATCCCGAGCAACTCGCCCTTCTTTGCCTCCTCCAGGTCTGCCGGCAGGCCCGCCCCCGACACCGCCGTCTGCAGGCTGCACCAGGCAGCACTCACTTGAGGCAGGGCCGACTTGGCCAGGGCCAGAGCGACCTTCCGGAACTTGGCCTTGTGCTTGTCTTCCTTCTCCTCCGTACGGTCCGGCTTCTCGTTCTTGCCCGGCTTTTCCGGCCGCTGCACGTCCCACTCCTTGGGCACCTGCTTGCCAGCACACACCTGCTTCACCCGGTTCAAGAGCTCCTCGCGGACGGTCTTCTCCGTCTCGACACAGTACTCGGAGTGGACCTTCAGGCGGTACGTCGTGCCGCCCAAGGCGGGGTTCTCCTCCGTGTCGCTGCAGGCGTCGATCACGTCCTGTGTGTACCCTTGAGTCAGCAGCACCGAGGCAGGAAGGTAGGAGCCGCCCGTCTCGCTGCGAGTCTCCGAGACTCGCTGGCGAGTCAAGGTTTCGACGAGCTGAGACTGGATTGTCCGCCAGCAGGACGTGCCCTGCGTCTTCACAAAGAACCGCTCCCTTTCGGTGTCGCTGAGGGAGTTGAAGGTCGACCAGGCACCGAGCCGGCGCCACAGCCGCAGCTTCAGGTTTCTGCAGTGCTTGCAGACCTGCTTGTCGTCCTCCTCGACAGCGTACTCCTGCTTGCACTCTTTGCAGGTCTGGACCTCTTTGGTGGGCTCTTCCAGGTTTGCTCCGGCACGAGACTGCTGCGACTGCAGCTCCTCCGTCTCGGCTGCCGGTGCTTCCTGGGAAGGGGCAGCCACAAGCTGGGTCGGTTGAGTCTCGAGCGCCATGTCAGGCAGGCGGGGTTAGAAGGGCTTGGAGGCGAACTTGCACGAAGGCTCTCGAGCCAGAAGCTGCAGCAAAGCAGGAGGCTTTCTGCGAGTCTGCGGAACCCTCAAACCCTGAAAAGCCTACTCTCCCGAATTTAGACCCCTATGCCGGATTCCAGGGTTCAGGGCAGGGCTCGACTTCATTCTGACTTCGATTCGACTTCGCTACAGTTTAGGGTTCCGGAGGTCCCGACTTCAATTGAAGTCAGGGCCCTGCCAGGGATCCTGGCTGCACAGTCCCTATGAGGGGTTACAAACTTCACCAGGACTTCTCTACAGGAAGGCATCCGGGAGGTGCCGACTTCAACTGAAGTCGGGAGGTTCTTAAGCCTGCCTGCAGGGGCTCCGACTTCATTTTGACTTCGCTAGTCTTTCACTGGTCCGGAAGCCTTTCTCGGAGTCTTTTAGGACTCGGCAGGAGCCGCTCAGAGCTGTTTGACTTCTGTAGTCTCTCACTGGTCCGGAAGCTTTTGTCGGACTCCTTTAGGGGCCGGCTTGACCCGCTCGGTGCTCACAGTCGCACCCGTCTGCACCACTACCTGGGCCCGGACCGAAAGCAGCAGCTGCTAGTCCATTTCATGCAAGACTTCGGCTCGCAGCTCCTTTAAAGCAGGCTGCTCTTGCAGTCTCTGCAGCACATTGGCGGCCTCAAGACTCGCCGTGGAGAAGTTCTGGTCCCATTCCGTGCCCAGTCTGCGGCCGAAGTAGTGCGGCAGGATGCCTAGGCACAAGCGAAGCTCTCGCACTCGATCCCGCAGCTGCAAGGCTGGCACCTGCCGCAGCCACGACTCCAGGTCGGTCTCGGGATCTCGCGGCACGAAAGAGTAGCCGCTCCACATGCGGTTCTTGTTTCGGCAGCCGTCGAACAGCTGCTCCCACATCGACCGCAGGCACGCCAGCACCCCGATGCACTTGGCGAGCACGTCCCGATTGCCAACCGAGCGGAACTGCATGATGAAATACAGTGTCTCACGCACCAGCTCCAGCTCGTGGTCTATCCACTCCTCCGGCGGCGGCAGAGGCACCTCGCCATCGCAGGGCTCCATGAGCCGCTTCCGCAGCTCGCACAGCTCGCTCCGCGAGAAGTCCGCCATTCTGCGGCAGGCCCCAACACAAAAAAGGGAGCCAGCAGCTGCGGCCATATGCAGGGCAAGTTTCGCAACGTCTCCTCTTCAGGTTTTCGGTTTAGGGTTGAGGGCTTTGGGGCCGATAGGAGAGGTGCAAGGTTTCTATAGGGCTGCATACGGTTCTAGAGGATTGCATAATTTACGATATAGAGGCCCCCAGGTTTAGGGTTATTATTATAAACCGGTCTATATCTATGGTTAGGGAGTTAGGGGTTTAGGGTTCGGCATCCCTGTACACCCTACTACAGAAGCCCTGCACAAACCCTACCCTTCCAACCCGAAACCCTGCACAAACCCTAGAAGGAAAACCCAACAAGCCTCAACCCCGAAGCCCTAAACCTATAGACCCTAAACCCTAAACCCCTAAAGGCCAGGCAGTCGGATTTTTTTTTCTGGAGCGGACGGCGAGTCGCAAAAGGGCTCGTTGGCTTAAGGGAGGGAGGAGCTGTGCTGTGCTGTGCTTGAGGCTTTAGGGTTTTGTGGAGCTGGTTTGTGCTTCTGAGGCTTTGGTGGGGTTTTGCCTGAGGGCTACTGGCTTCCGTGCTCCCCCCTCACTGCCGCCATGCAGCTGCCGTGGCAGCGGATGGATGCATGCCGTGGCACGATCACTGCTGCTGCAGCAGCTGCTTCATGGTGTCTTGCCACACCATCCGAAACAGTGCAGCAGCAGCACTCGGCCCGCCGCCTGGGCCGTCGCCACCGCCGCCGCCACCGCCCGGATCCCGTGGGTCCTTGTCCCGGTCTTTGACCGGAGACTGCGACCGGGCCTTCGATCGCTTTCTACGTCGCCGGCGGCGACTGTCGGAGCTGCTCCCTCGCCGCAGCTTCTTCGCCGGCGCCGGCTTCTTCTCCTGCTGCTGCACGGGCCTCGGCGGCGGCTGCACGTGAGCAGGCTTCGGCTTCGAGGCCGGCTTCTGCAAGGCTGCCGGCAGCGGAGGAGGCGCCGTCCAGATGCTGCCGCGGTTCGCAGGCGGCTTTCCGCTGGGACTCGAAGCCACGGAGGAAGCCGGTGCTGCATTGGCCGCCGTCTGCATCGCCTCCTCCAAGTCCGGCGGGCAGTCGGAGTCCTCGAAGGGGAAGTGCCCGTTGCACCAGACCTCGTAGTCGGCCTGGCCCCGGGACACGCAAGTGTCCCAGGGTCTCGCCCCCAGTTCCCATCTTCGCCAGGCCAAGCACAGGGCGCTGCGACGATGGGACCTGTGGCCTGCCACCGTCGGCACCAGGTACTGGTGGCAGCGATTGCAGCGGTAGGTCCTCGCTGCATTGTTTCGCCGCCCTCGTCCCCGCTTCCCCTTCGCTGTAGCCTCCGAGGCGTCCGTCGTGTCCCGGGGGGCTCCTGCCGGCGAGCTCTTTTGCGAGGCCCTCGTCGTGTCCCGGGCGGCTGCTGCCGGCGAGCTCTTTGGCGAGGCCCTCTGAAGCTGCTCGTGCAGCTGAGCCTTCAGCTCCGCCTCCCGCCTCCTCGCCCGTGCGAGTGCTAAAGCACTCGGCCCGTCTTCGGGGCTACGTGGCCTCGCCGGCTCCGGAGAGCGGCGGCACAGCCGTACTCTGCCGCGGCTCCGCTCGCTGCGGCTGCGGTCTCGGCGGGAGCGGCGGCTCCGCTCTTTTTCTTTTTTTTCTTTTTTTTCCTTTTCCTTCTTTTCTTTTTTTTTCTCTTCCGCCCGCTTCTCCCGGCCGCGAGAGCGGGTTCTCGAGCAGCGGCTCACCTGTGAGGGCCCCGGTATCCTCGGGGCTCGAGGCCGCTCCGCCGCCTCTTTTTTTTTCTCCACCTCCTCTTTTTTTTCCTCCTCCTCCTCTTCTTCGTCCTCCTCCTCCTCCTCGGAGGAGGTCTCGGCTTCGGCGGCCTTAGCCGCCTTCTCCTCCTCTTCTTTTTTCTTTTCTTTCTCCTCGTCGTCGCCCATGGGCACCTGCGAGCAAGGCAAAGGAAGGGTTTAGGGGGAGTCTAGGGTTTGGCGGGTTGTTAATATGTATATATATATATATATATATAATATATATATATATATATATATTATTTAATTATTTAGATTTTGCAGCGGCGGCCGTAGCCAGCCCACTGCACGTCGCAGCCTGCAGCGGCGGCCGTAGCCAGCCCACTGCATGCCGCAGCCTGCAGCGGCGGCCGTAGCCAGCCCACTGCAAGTCGCAGCCTGCAGCGGCGGCCGTAGCCAGCCCACTGCACGTCGCAGCCTGCAGCGGCGGCCGTAGCCAGCCCACTGCAAGTCGCAGCCTGCAGCAGCGGCCGTAGCCAGCTCGCTGCAGGAGCCTGCCTGCAGGGGCGGCCGTAGCCAGCTCGCTGCAGGAGGCTATAGTGCCGGCCGTAGCCAGGCATGCTGCGAGGAGCTTCTGCAAGCCAGCTCTACTGCAGCGGCCGTAGCCTGCTCGCAGAGCTGGATGCAGCATAGGCGGCCGAAGCCTGCCCCTGCAGGCTCCTGCGGACCACCGCGGCCGTGGCCAGCTGTTGGTCTCATATATATATATATATATATATATATTTTTTTTTTTATTTATTTATTTATTTATGTATTTATTTATCTTTTAATATATTTACAATTACAAGGAAAAAGGCGGGACGGGCCTTCGCCCGTTGCAGGGCAAGCCCCCAGCCCACCTAAAGCGGAGCCAGACGGCTGCGGATGCGGCAGTTGAGGGGTGCAGCAGGGTCTCTACAGGGAGTAGGGCTTAGAAGCTTCTAGCTTGCAGCTCTGCAGGGTCTCGACTGTTCTTGCATGCAAGGATATCTGCGAGCGATTTTTTTCGGATGACTCAGCGGAAACACGAGGGCGTACATCCTGGCAGGTAACGACACTTGGCACACCCGGACGGACGGGCGCTTATGCGATCCTCCCAGGTCATGCCCGGCACAGCTGCCCTGCCAGACGGAGCGGCGGGTGGCTTCGCGGCCGCAGCAGGTCTTTTCAAGGCCGGCGAAGGCTGCTTCGCTGCAGGTCTCTTCATCGGCTTTGGCTCTTTCTCAGCTTCTGGATTCTTCCCTCCCGAAGCTTCTGGCTCGTCGCCTTGCAAAGCTTTCTGGAGCTGCTTCGCTGCGGCAGGTCTCTTCATCGGCTCTGGCTCCTCCTCGGCTTCTGGATTCTTCCCTCCCGAAGCTGCTGGCTCGTCGCCTTGCAAAGCTTTCTGGAGCTGCTTCGCTGCGGCAGGTCTCTTCATTGGCTCTGGCTCCTCCTCAGCTTCTGGATTCTTCCCTCCCGAAGCTTCTGGCTCGTCGTCTCGCAGAGCTTTCTGGAGCTGCTTCGCTGCGGCAGGTCTCTTCATCGGCTCTGCCTCAGCCTTTCGCTTCTTCCCTCGCGAAGCTTGGGGCTCGTCGCCATACAGAGCTTTCTGAAGCCGCTCGAGGTGACTTTCCGCCGTTTCCACGGCCGCCGGCTCCTCCAAAGCCTGGGCTTCGTTGGTCTTCTCCTCCGCAACCTTCGCTTCCACGGCCGGCGGGGCCTCGCTGTCGCGATCCAGGATTGCCAGGGGCTCACGGTCCAGGATTGCCAGCGGCTGCTTCGCTCTGGGCGGTTGTGCAACAGGCAAAGCCGGTGGCCGCCCCGACCCGCTACTCAAGCTACTCGACAGTCCTTGCACGAGGGCGCCCAGGAGCTGCCCTGCGTTTTCCGGCTGCTTCTTCAGCTGTGCACTGCTCTTCCGAAGCGGTAACTTGGAAGCAGCGAAACCGAGCTGCTCCATGCTCACCTTACCTCTCGCCGGGCCCTCCGTGACATACACAGCCTGGGCCACTTGAACCGGCAACGCAGCCGCAGTCTCGGGCAGCATCTGCAAGTGAAACAGCGGGTTGCCGTGAGCAGTAAGCAAGCGCCGAGCTGCCGGCTTGAAACTTTCAAATTCCGTCTGGAACGTCTCGGCATCCGGCAGCGGCATCTCCAGCATCAGGATGCTGAAGATCAGCACATTGCCCAGAGTAGGCTCCGTCGGATGTCGCAGGCCAAGCTCAGCTAAGTACCTCAACACTTTCACGCTCACCTGGTCTTGCATGCGACATCCCTCTAGCTCCTGCCACTGGCTCCTCTTCAAGAACGGCACAAATGCCGCAAAGTCCTGCAGCTGCCCCTTCTTCATGCACGCCTCGCTGGAGGGGATCGCCGCGACCGCTGCCTGCACCTCCTGCACTTGTGCATCCGTCCACACGTTCCGGTCTTGTGCATCGTAGATGCGGCACGCCTCGTCCGCCGACAGGGTGGCTGTCTTCGCCAGTAAAGACTGCAGGACCACGTGCTGCTTCTGCTGTAGCTGCTCGAAGTTCTGCAGGTGTCGAACCTGCTTCAAAAAGTTTTGTGAAGCCAGAAGTTGCTTCACAACGGCCGCCATTGCGGCCACAACTTTACAGCTTGGGAGCCAAAAAATGCCACGGATTCCTACATTTACATAAACCCTGCTAAAACCATGCAAAACATGTTACATTCCGCACAACTTACGGTAATCCAGGAAGCTAAAACGATGCGGATTTCGATCGATCTTAACACCGGCTAACTTTTTTACCTTCCTAAACACAAAAAAAATAACTCCCCCTAACTCCACTTTAACTTTTTGGAGCGTGTCGCTAACTATGTTATAACTCCCGGCTAACTTTATAAAGTTAGCCGGAGTTATAACTCGATATAACATGGTTATGCCGGGGTTATAATGGGGTTAAATGGGGTTATAACTCTGATCTAACTGATGTCTCCGCTGTGCATAAGCCCTCAACCCCAAGCTCCTGAAGCCCTCAAACAAACCCCGAAGCCCATGAAGCCTTGAAAACCCGAAACCCTAAAGCCCTTAAAGCCTTGAGCGCCCGAAACCCTAAACCCCTCCCCCCTAAACGGCTAAACTTGATCTCCCTGTCGTGCGGGAGATCCACGAAGGCCTGCACTGCGAAGAGCAGGGCGGCTCATCTCAGCCGATCGAGCCTTCGTCGCAGTGGCCACGGAAGCAGTTCAAGGCCAGGAGTGCGTCGCTGGCTGTCAGCTGTGGGGAGAGGGACAAGGTTCTTCACTGCAGCAGGGCAGCCAGCGCTCCGGTGCCGAGTCGTGACCGTGCGAGGGCATCATCCGGTGCCCAGAGAATGGCCGCAGTGGCAGGCGATCTCGCCGCTCTCGCCCGCCGCGACAGGTCGCCGGCGAGCGACGAGAAAGCAAGCAAAGCGGGGCAGTGCCGCAAATGGCGCCTGGAGCGTGAGCGCGGCAGGCCCCCCATTTTCCACGACCTCGACTCTGAGCTAGATCACAACGGGACACCTAGGAACACCTGGTCTGAAGGATTTCCCACGTACGACTTAGAGTATGCTGATGATACCCTATTGTTAGCGCGGACCACAACGCAACTCCAAGCCGTCTTGAGCTCCCTGGAGGCAGTAGTAGCAGAATATGGGATGTCCCTAAACAAAATAAAAACTGAACTCCTGATCCCCGCTGGCTCTGTTGACCACACCTTGCGTTTTCACGATGGCACTAAGGTACCCACCAAAGAAACCATCAAATATCTAGGTAGCATGGTATCCTGGACCAAACCCTTTGAAACAGCCTTCTATCATAGAGCGGGCCTAGCAGCTTACAAAAAGCTCCGACTTATCTGGAACAGCTCCCTATCCCGTAAGTCCAAACTGAGAATCTTTCATGCTACCTTTGTGCCCACACTCCTGTATGGCCTAGAAGCCTTGACCCTGACCACACCGCGCATGAAGCGCATCAACGCGTTCTACATCCGCTTTCTTAGGAGGATCGTTGGTATCAAAGCCTCGTATTACTCTCATATCACCAACGCCCGAGTATACGAAGTGGCTAACAAACCTCAACTTCCCTCCGAAAGCCTCAGCCAACAGCAGCATAAAATGATGAAAGAAGTATTCCTAGCCCCCAGGTCTGAAACTTGCCATTCAGTAGTGTTCGGCTCTGCGTTTAAAGATAGGATCTTGTCCCAAGGTCGGCGTAGGGGAATGCAATTCCCCTACTGGCTGGAAGTAGTATGTAAACAGTACTATCCAACGGAGTTCCACCAAGACCACACCGCCCTAGGACCCGACTTTAAGTACGTACTCGTACACAGAAAGCTGAGAGATCCTGCTGGGAAGACGCCAAAGCGCGCTGATTCGCGCGCATGGCTCTAGCAAAAAACGGCTAAACTCTAAACAGCAGTAAACCCATAAACCCTGAACCCCTACACTCTAAACATCTAAACCTAAAAGCTTTGAAAACCTTCAACACCTTTCCACAGATCACGATCCTAACAGGTCCTGCTGGATTCTGGCGCTACGAAAAACATCAGGCACCTTTGCTGGACCTGAGGGCGTAGCCGGGTTTAGGGGTTCGGTTAGGAGTTTAGGGGTTAGGGGTTTAGGGAGCGTTTATTCGTTTTGGGTTTGGGTTTGAGGGTCTTGGTTTTCAGTTTTCGGGCTCAGGTTGGGGAGTTTACGGTTTCAGAGTTTTGGGGTTTAGAAAGGGGCCAGGATAGCTACTTCCATCAGTCCCTGTGGTTTCCCTTGTAGTATACGATGAAAGACCCGGAAACATTTACTGCACCGTTCAGACCCCTATACCCAGAACCTTTTAAGGAACGCTTTGAAGAAGCATCATTATTATGGCCGCCAATATTCCCTAAGGGTCCATGTAGCCATATAGAGATACATGGGGCCCAAAGTACCTATATGGGGACTACATTCAGGCCAATGTATATACGATATGAGTACATGGACACTTAGGGCTTAGGGGGTTGGAAGTTTTTGGGGACGACGGTTGCGGAGCTCTGAGTTTCAATGTGAGTTTAGGGGTCAGGTTCCGGGCTTGTGTTGCAGCGTGTATCCCGGGCCCGAATCCTTTCTCCGCATTTTGTGGCGGTGCGAGCGATTCACAGAAGGTGTGATTCTGAGCTTGGTGATTTCGATCCGGCAGTTCTGTCTACATGTGCTGGAGATGCCTCAACTCGACCCAGAGGGTCCAAGCACCCAAGTAGTAGGCCTTGAGACGATACGAAACTTTGAACGGCTCCCAGGGTAGCCTAAAACCACTTCTTGCAGGATCTTGTGGACTTAGTATTTATTAATTGAGGTTGGAAGTACCGAAATTGGAGATATGTGTCAACTATTTTGTATTCTTCGTTCTTATAACCCTAGTTACTAAGTCCCATGATCCTCTGAGTACGGTTTGGTTTGGGCAGTTGGGCCGTACCCCTTCAACAGGTACTGCTGGTTCTGGGTTATCCTTGAAATTCATGTTCCATGTCTGCTACAGCAAAAACCCGAAGCGCATTAGAAATGATAGTTGTGCCACAGGTCCAAGGGGTCTATATCATCGGACGCCAAAAGGGGGTTTAGCCTATAGGGGTTTAGTAGGGATTAGGGTTCCCATAATCGGGTTCATATTAAGGAATCCCTACCCCAAGAATCTTAAACCCCCCTTTGGGCCTCCGATCACTATAGTCGCAAGCCTTAAAACTTTCACCGGATAAGCCCGCACCCAAAACCCTTATGGTACCCTTATACATGCCTGAAAGGAATGCAAGCAACCATTATATAGTCCCCGTAAAAAAACCTGATGGATCCCTTAAAAGAACCCTTATAGATCAATCCTAAGCCCTAAACCCTTAACCCTAAACACTTAGACAACCCTAAACCCTAAACCTTAAAAGGAGCCTTTATCCAGGCCGGCGAACCTACAGCTTTGCAGCGATCAGAAGCTGGACGGGAAGAGGTGCGCGGACGCTGGGATGTCAGGGGTTTGGGGTTACAGTAGAAGCCAGAAAGTTGGAATATCATTATCGTAACCCCTTTAAGGTAAATTATAGGGGATCCTACCATTAATCCATATTCCAACTTTCTGGAGTTCCCTTTAGGGTTTGCTGTTTAGGATTTGGGGTTTTAGGGTCGGGCGGTTTGGTTTGGGGTTTAGGGCTTACGGGTCCTGATTTGACCACATAGTGGGAATTCCTATCATGTTTTGGGCAAGTACCCCCCCCCCCCCGGCCCCCTGTAGCCTGTAGGTACTACGGTTGATGATATAAATCCTGCATTACCTTAGGGACCCTAAACTATGGGAATTATGGTATATTCCTTATTATGGGTCATGCAGGGTTTATATCATCAACCGTAGTTAGGACCCTTAGGTGTAAGATTCGAGTCGGTTTAGGGTCATGGGCTCCGACCTTGTGGGGTTACTATTCCAAAGGCCACTCCGAACCTTGTGGGATCATCATTCAGAAGGGCAGGGCTCCGAATCTTGTGGGACCATGACCCAGAAAGCCATGGGCTCCGAACCCGGTAAGACTATCGTTCAGAAGGCCATGGGCTCCGGATCTTGTAGGTGGTGTGCGATTGGAGTCGTGTTTCGGGTTCGCCTTTCCAGCACCCCAAAGTACCGCTAAAGAGGGGCCGCTCAGTCCTTAGTAGTGAGTACTTGGGCAGGAATAAGGGGGTAGTTGGGGAGTTGTTGGTTGGGTTTAAGTTTCACGTTTGGACTTTGAGCTTATAAGTTTTAAGGTCTAGTGTTTCGATTTAGAACTACACGTTGCACTTTTTAGGTTAAGGTTTGGTGGTTGGAGGTTTGGAGTTCGAACATAAAGCCGAGTTGTTGTTCTGGAGAGGTGTTGGCTCAGAGTAGGGTTCAGGGTTTGTGGCGTACGATCTGAGTAACCGCCCATGACGCAGGGTTTCCTCCTAAACCCCGTGGACCCTTAGTTTACCCGAATAAATATGCAGCTTGCTGCATCAGCAACCGTACCCGAAATCTGCCGTCGATGTGAGGGTCCTATATTTAGCAGACCCAGAAGCTAACTTCTGGCATGTTTGAAATCCGGTCCCTGCCTGTCTTTTTGTGTCTGTTTAGAGAGGACGTGGGAGATCCGAAAGTGCTGATCAACGCCATGTGGGTAGTTCTCTAAATCGGGGTTTAGGGTTTATTTGGGGTTGAGGGTTTGGGCCATATAGGGTTGAGGTTTCCGTAACATGATGAAAGGTTCCCTTGTAGGTGCACAAAATATGTCAACACCCTACACAAACAGGACCCCGTCCGCAGGGACTCGTCCCGGGACATTCCGGACAAACTGAATTATGACCAGACAAAAGACACCACCCTTTAGTCTCCATTGTAGTTCCTTCTTTTGGTTCCTTATGTCATCAGTTGCAACCCATAGACTCAATGCGAAGCACCCCAATCCACCAACAAAAACCAAGAGTCCCCCCCCCTCGGCCAGCACCAGAGCCCGAAGCACCTCCTAGGAACAGGGAAAGGCCGAGAACTTTTAGGGGAGCTCAAGTGGCGTCGGCACCCCCTGCAAGGGCCCGGCCGCCTTTCCCGACGGGGCTGGGGGAAGGAGGGCTTGGACAGCCCGGAGGGGAG